CAGCAGACCAATGAACCCTTCAGTATAAACTATCAATTTCCACTTTCCCCAGTTTGGCTTTAGCAAGTCTAGAAATAGACAAATACACACTTCCATGGAAGGTGATAATACATCAGTCTATACACATGTTCACAGGTCATAATCAACCTATGACATTTTATACACAATATCATCATACAATCTACACTTAATGGAATGTTAAGATTTCTTCTTGGCTGATGATAGTAAATCACATTTCAAACTTGTGAGCAGAACCTGAGTGTTATGGGTCAATATTTATAGATATTTTGCTATTTTATTACTCATATCCCCTCGACCAGAAATGGGATAACACCTATAAAATCTACAGTTAACGGAATCTGAAGATTTTCTTTTGGCTGCGGATAGTAAATCACATTTCTAGCTTGTGAGCAGATCCTGAATGCTATGGGTTAATATTTCTAAGTTTAAGAGATTTTTTACAATATCATTACTCATCTCCCCTCAGCCAGAAATGGGATAAAGTATATAAACTCGACAATTAATGGAATCTTAAGATTTCTTCTTGGCTGATGATAGTAAATAACATTTCTAGCCCGTGAGCAAAGCCTGAATACTTTGAGTCAAGATTTCTAATTTCTTGTCGGTTGATGATAGTTAATAACATTTCAAACCTATGAACAAAGGTCTAAATGTAATGGGTCAGTATTTCTGATTTTAAGAGATTTTTGACTATATTATGACTCATATCACCTTGACCAGAAGTGGGATAATGCCTTTAAAATCTACAATTAATGGAATCTAAAGATTTCTTGTCGGTTGATGATAGTAAATAATATTTCGAACTTGTGGACTGAATCTTAATGTAATAGGGCAATATTTCTAATTTTAAGAGATTTTCTACTATATTATACTCATATCACCTTGACCAGAAATGGGATAATGCCTTTAAAATCTACAGTTAATGGAATCTTAAGATTTCTTGTCGGTTGATGATAGTAAATAACATTTCAAATCTATGAACAAAGGGTCTAAATGTAATGGGTTAGTATTTCTAATTTTAAGAGATTTTTGACTATATAATGACTCATATCACCTTGACCAGAAGTGGGATAATGCCTTTAAAATCTACAATTAATGGAATCTTAAGATTTCTTCTCGGTTGATGATAGTAAATAATATTTCACACTTGTGACCAGAATCTTAATGTAAAGGGTCAATAATACTAATTTTAAGAGATTTTTGACTATATTATGACTCATATCACCTTGACCAGAAGTGGGATAATGCCTTTAAAATCTACAATTAATGAAATCTTAAGATTTCTTCTTGGCTGATGATAGTAAATAACATTTCAAACCTGTGAGGAGAATCTGAATGCTATGGGTCAATATTGCTAATGTTAAGAGATTGTTGACTATATTATTACTTACATCCCCTCAACCAGAAGTGGCATAAATGTTATGCTTTCAAGAATGAAAGGAATCTTGAGAGTTTTGTTTTCTGAACATTGTCATTCACATTTACAACCTCTGAGAAACATATGTACTTTGACAATAAGCTTTGAATATGAAACTACATAGTTTTAAAAAAAGCTTCGTCCCCTTCACAGCTGTAATAGGCTAACTGATCATCATGGAGGGACTGACTGCACAATGCATGACATTGTGCTAGGTCTGTACCTGCCTTGATAGAAACCACAGAAAAAAGGTAAAAAGTAAAGGTATAATGACTTACCTACACATTCTCGTCTTTCAAAGAAATATTATCTTAGAAACTTCAGCCACTTGGCCTTCAACAGCAAGGACCAGACGACCATTTTGATCAAGTTGTAAAGGGAGGATAACTCTTACTGTTGCTTTGTCTTGCAAATTTTAATGTCAATGATGACAGAGCATGAGATAACAAGTTCAGTTCTCTATTAGTAATGGGTTTATTAAATATATGTTATCTGCCTTAAGTTGGTAATTTTGAAACCTTTCTAAATATTTCAATCATATTAAATAATATCATTTAGATTCCATATGGTCTCCCCAGAAATATGAGGACATTTTGCTGGCAAAACGGTTATGAAAGCTTCAACGTATTTATGTCAATAAGCTACCAGGAATGGTTCAATGAGTTTCCGAGTTATTTTAATACTGACCAGGAAGGAGATTTTGTCATACCGGGTATTACATATGTATTTTTTCCCTTAAAACAATGAGAAAAAGAATAGGGTGGTGGGTGAATCAAAGGAACATTAAAGAAATCTTTTTTTAACAAGAGAAATCTTTTTCAACAATTTCTACTCTAATATTTCTATATGTAATTAGTTTCTTTTATTTTTTAAGTTAGACTTCTAAGATGAAGCACAAACTTTCTCACATCCTGCATCTGCTATGCCTGGAAGCAGTTACATGTACCTCCTCCATTAATATAAGAAAATAGTTGCTTTTATCATCATGTACACAATAATCAAATGGATTGATTTTGAATAATTGTTACCACTAAAATCTAACATGATAATGATAGTAATATTTACAAAAAATGACTTTGGGACTTGAGAATACAAACAAAAATACACACATCAGTTGCCAGAGGGCTGTGAGGTGATGGGGCTTAGAAATCCCTTGAACAGTACAAATTTAACTGTACCCCTTTCAACTCTGACATGTTGAGTATTCATTGTTTGATGTTAAATGACACACTTAGTTATATTCAAAATAATTAATATTATTATATTGATGTACATACCCTCCCACATATATTTTGTGAACATCATGGCCTATTGTACAATGTCATGAGTATTTATTCCTAGATATTTACCTGCTTTTTTACTGTGTATGAGAAGAAATATGCCCAACTCTCATAACTCTTGCAAAATTGCATAACACAAACATCCTAGGAACTTAAATTATTACGCTTGTATCCCCACCAATGAGTGGCATAACAACTTTAAAATACATAAATTAGAGAATAATTTTATTTTCATTTGGCTTTTGCTATTTTGTAGGAAACACTGTGTTCAGAAGTGGCCAAGATAGCTATTTCACAGAAAATTTACTCTGTTATTAAACATGTCACCACCTCACAAAGGTTATGATATGATAGACAATTAAATAATACATTTGGGAGTGATATCATGGTTAGAAATTAAACATGGCAATGGGCAGTAATTACAGATAATAAGCAACACGACCATATTTATAGGAATTGCATTTTGTCATGAGCGATATTGTATTCCGCTTTAGTTCCGCATTACCACTTTTATACGCTGCTATATTTAGCTGCAAATGTCGGACATCGAGTCAGTAGCATTGCCATTGGCGCACTTTGCAGAACCGAGTAAAAATACAAAACACAAGAAGTGCAGATGATTTTGCTCTTATTAAATGTTTGTCAATTAAACACATAGTTGCATGCCACAGATATAATTCTCTACGGTGTTTATCCCAGTTCTGGTCGCTACAGCCGTGTATAACAGAGGTATGGACAGACATGTCCTTGCTTACACTACAGCGATAATGACTGTATTTAGACGGCTTATACCTGTAGAATATACACACTGTGTAAGATAAGAGGAGGTTATTTCCTGTTATTGTGAATTATCGAATAGCGATGCTTATCATGTGCACACCCTATTGATTCTATGTTGTTGCTGAATGTACATGTACAGTGAGGATCCCTCATAGGAGGGTAGGGTAGCTGTGTGTATGCAATGAGTGGCCTTGAACGCTGCTTTAGGCTTTGTTTGTTTGTTGTTTAACGCCGAACTCAGCTATATTCTAGGTATCTGACGGCGGTCTGTCAATAATCGAGTCTTGACCAGACAATCCAGTGATTGACATCATGAGTATCGATCCACGCAATTGGGATAGGATGACATGCATCTACCAAGTCAGCGAGCCTGACCACCCGACCCCGTAGTCGCAACTTACGACAAGCATAGTCGCCTATGCTTTAGGCAGGCTGTAAACAGATGTTTATACATTAGTAAAGTTAGAGTGTTGAATTATTTTGTTAAAATGAGATTGGAGATGGTGGAATGTAGTGTATATGCGGTAATGATAATAATTGAGATATGGCTTTATCATTGTGATTCTTTTCACGTGCTGAACGAACTGGTGCTATAGTGAGAGGTACATGTACTGGTGCTATGCCTTTCACGCATTAGTGGATTCTGTAAAATGAGAAGGTACTTATTGAGGAGTATATCAAGAATAAGTGAAATACGCTCTGCTATGCAGGGTTATGTTTGAAGTAGTTGAATTGCTGTTTGTGTATTTTGTGGAGAGTTGTTGTATGATATAAATGTTGGTGTTAATTCTTCAAGTATGTAGTCAATATAACTGTTTCTAAAGCCGAGTTTAGCATTTCCATCCATTGTGATATGGCCCTTATTCATTATGTTGGTGTAATACCTGCCTAACACAAATACCAGTAGGTGTTTGCGACATTGCCCTACATGTCGTTTTCATTCTGCGAGCATAGTGTGTAGATAAGAGAGTGAGGTAGTATTGTTTCTTACAGCTTTCAGCAAAAGTCACCGGTAATTGATTTCGCGCATTGTACCCATGCTGGGAATCGAACCAGTCTGGACTAGTGACTGCACCACCTACTAGGCCACCCACCGCCCAGCGGTAGATAAGACATCTAGAAGTAATTTGTTTGTATGGACCCGCCCCCTACATTTGCCCCTGTCTCTACTATACTGTTCAGGAACGATTTTCTGAATTCATATTTAGTTTTTGTACCCTTTTTTCCTTTTTGTGCGTCAGATTCACAAGTGAACCAATGCCATAATTTAATATCTGACACTTAAACGACCAAACAGAATTTAAAGCAACCATGTTTACAATGATGTTTCATGTCATGCAAAGATGGTCTCAGAAAAGCATGTTATTACCCTGTCTGCCAATTTAAAAACGTACCACATATTCAGGGAAACTTAAGTTGATCAACACAAACCTGGCATGTCTACACCAATGCAATGTGGATATGTATCGCAAAGTTGGTCAGTATTGTTTTCTGTCTTTCAGAATGAACACCTTCCCGAAGTGTTCTGTCTGTCAGCAGCAGTTTACCCTGAAAGGTCCAGTCCCCTACTTACTGCCCTGTCTACACGCTGTGTGTGAGACGTGTGTGACATCTGCAGCTGGCGGTGTGATATCATGCTCTACATGTCAGAGGGAGGTCAACCTCACAGACACAAGTCTCCAGAAGGATGCTGTGAGACAGAAGGAAATATTCCACCTCACAGTCAAACATCGCCCCACAGAGCTCCTCTGTACAAATGACGATGATGGCAACCAGGCTGTGTGTTGGTGTCAGGAGTGTGAAGACTTCCTCTGTGAATACTGCCAGAACATGCACAGCAGCTTCAAACGTACCAGAAACCATCCCGTGCACAAGTTTGGGGATATTATTCTGCAAAATCTTGGAAATGAAACAAATTGCAGTATTCACAACCGTTATCCACTTGATTTGTTTGACAAAAGCTGCAACATGTCTATCTGTGGTCGATGTAGCAGAGGAGAGCACGTGGATCATGAGGTTGAGGATCTGGATGAGGCTGCTGAAGGCGTTAAACAGCGGATTGAACAACACGGGAAAGATCTGTCGGCGCTACTGTCTCGTCAGCAAACACACCTTCAGAGTATCAGACAAGATACAAAGTTAGCAGACAGGACGCAGAACACATTGAGAGAGACAATAGGACATACGTTCCAGTCTTTAAGATCACAGCTTGACCAAAGGGAGAAGGAACTCTTGATTGATCTTGAAAGTCAGACCAGGGAAACCAAAGCAACTCTCCGTGCTCTTCAAACCTCATGTGAAGAGGATCAAGCAAAATGCACCGGGGTTTTAGATTACATCAGAAAAAGTGTTGTCTATGCTTCCAAATCGTTTCTCTTGCAACTAGAGAGTTCTGTTGAGGGGATAACTCGGACTTGCCTGGAGACTGCTGCACCTCAAACACACGATGTACCCACAGCGGCCTTCAACACCAACGGCTTGTCCAAACTGAAATCAGATATGTCTGGATTTGGTACCATCACTGCTTTGAAAGAAGAGATTATTGACACAGGTGATGGTATGTAAATAAAGACATTTCTTGTCCTTTGAGAATGATATGTGCCAAAAGTCTGCAAAACAGAATTCATGTTTTTCATGTGCTTTTCACACAGTATTATTTTCAGTTCCTACTTTTTCAAAATTTGCTTCTTCAATTTCAGATAAGCAAACACAGACTGATGATGACTATTTGGCGGACCTGGAACAGAAACACGAAATGGTATGTAAAATTAGCTAAGGATTCATATAGGAAGAAGCCCACAGTCAAGTCTTCACCATACCAATCATAATAGTGTATGCATTTTATCTGAATATTTTAGAAGCACCTTGAAGACGAAAATAGCATTCTGCAGAATCTGTCAGATTTTAAAGTGTCTGACATCAAAAGATAAAGATTCCATACAGAGTGTCAGATAGATGATATGCTGATATTGATGGAGCTGACTTGTTAGAGCGTGGCGTTTGTGTCTTCTCTCCATTCTGGTGGAGTGTCTGTTGATGCAGAGAGCAAACTGATACATGATGTTAATCCAACTGTTCTCATTGTCCACATCATCCCTCCAGCCTGGAGAGAGCTGCTGGTTTTCATGTACGAAATCTAGCAGCTAACGTCTATATCAGTATCAGATCAACTGACAGATAGTATCAAAACAATGTGTTGGATGACAGTATCAGAGATGGTGGCTGGGGATACTGGACAGATCAGAGCACTACTACCAGGACGTGAAGTTAGCTTTTTTTACTTCGTAGGCCCAAATCATGTGATGGACATAAACTCTTGATCACACAATACTTGCATCAACCTGATGTAACTGTAAGAAAGTATTTTTGCTCCTTGATTGAAAAGTATTATTTTACAGCCTCGAACTTCTATCAAAAGGTATGTTTTACTTTTCAGGAGCTTGCAGAACTGAAATCAAATATCGCTTCAGACAAGGAAAGAATTGAATTACTACAAGCCCTAACGGACAAATTGAATGATGAAGCGTACAACATGAACATGGTTTGTATATCATTGTGTCACACTCACAGGCATATTGTTATGTCATATTCTAACTATTGGAGAGAGAGGGAGAGAGAGAGAGAGAGAGTGAGTGAGTGAGTGAGTTTGGTTTTACGCCGCTTTTAGCAATATTCCAGCAATATCACGGCGGGGGACACAAGAAATTGGCTTCACACATTGTACCCATGTCAGGAATCGAACCCGGGTCTTCAGCGTGACGAGCGATCACTTTAACCACTAGGCTACCCAACCGCCTGAGAGAGAGAGAGAGAGAGAGAGAGAGACAGACAGACAGTGAGATTCCGAAAATCACTGGTAATGACACAATGTCACAGTGTCTGCTCCAAATAAAACTTCCGCGCATTGAATACTCAATGACACCCGCAATTCTGGAAACACATGCTGTCACCTCCTACACCATGTCCACAATACAATATCGCTGGTGCGCAAAGGAGGCTGACTTCGGTTAATTGGCCTACACGTTTGTTTCACATTTGCAGATGACACTTTGTGTGACATCCTCCCAGTAATCCAGGATATTTGTTGGCACAACAGACAGGGATTGGTTTGCTTTGAATAATACTTGAATGTGTAATCCGGGGGAAGAACTGCCAGCTAAAAGCTGACTGATTGACCCTTCGGTTTGTTTTGTCCAGGCTTGATATCTCCAAGCTCCCTTTTTTCCAGTTCACGGCAAAACAACCATTCATCCCATCAATAATGTTTTAATTTGTTTCTTACAGAGATATACATGTCCTTCATATAGATATTAATATCCCAATTGGTTTATATCTCATGACCTTCCAGTACATTGTTTTCCTTTCTAGACGCTAGCTGAGAAAGACGAAACCTGTAAGATCGCCTCAGAGACCATTGGCCGTCTACATACATCCTTGATTGGTATGTCCAGAAATATTTCTGAATACCTTGGCCAATCTCAGGTACATGTACACAACGCTTTTCTATTGAAAATAAAAGATGGGGAAAAATACCTTTAACTGAAAGAAAATGTCAATTTTGTAAACCATTTGATTTAGGTGATGAGTTTCACTGTCTATCTATCTGTCCACTATTTCAAAATGAGAGAAATCAGCTAATTAGAAAATCTTTTTACACTTCACCAAACATGTACAATATGAATTTGCTTTTTAATAGTAAAACATAAGGAACACTTAGAAACTAATGCTATTTAATTCTGTCAGTGTGTTTCGTAACTGAAACTTTTCTTGTATCTTTATTTACTGAAGCCACTGCTTGGTGAATCTGTTGTTTTTTATTGTATATATGTATACAGTAACGTATCCACGTTTTTTGCATGTGCGCAACGCAACAAATTAATGTATATCAACTTCCGGGGTTTCCGGAGTAAATATCGTCCTTATACAATCCATATATTCTTCCTGATTACATGAAAAGAAATATTCTTTCAAAAACACACTTTAATTTGTAATCGAGTGATGTATACTAGCTACAGTCATGACATCTTCGTACCACGTAGATTCTATGGTATCTTTCTCTGTTCATGTGCTATTTAAAAGTGCCAGAAATGCTATAATCAGGGAAATGTGTCGATATAATAGAATTAAAATAATGTGAGTGAAGATTCTTTACTATTTTCCCTTCATACTGTGCAAGCGAGATCATGCCTTCGTTCCAACAGCAGACATTCAACACTCAAGATTGGAGGACACGTCTGACATATATTGGGGCAGTTTGTTTATTTGTTTGAAGAAAGTTAGTGATGACAGCATCTTCGTATTACACCCGGAAGCAAACAAGACCAAAAATGTTTAGAAAAAGCACATCTATGAGTGTCAAGCACAAGCCTAGGCACGATTCTTGTAAAGTTTCATAATTGGATTTTGTTGTTTTGTTGTCAAAATAATTCTTGCTGCTTGTGTTCAGAACGTTTAAAAATTATTCATGTCAAGATCTGTTAAGGTCAAAATTTGAAAATGACAATCTGTTTGGATATTTAGCATATTCAAGTTGTTTCCCGTCGTCAATCATGCCACCTGTTAATGTGAACTTAAAGATCAGTCTCCTTTAGTTTTCACCTAGAATAAAAATAAACTTACAAAACTGCCTTATTTCTGCTGAGGTATGTATACCAAAGGTGGCCGACATTTTATACCTTGTTCGCGTGTCAATCAGCATTTGAAACGTACATTTTCAGTCGCTTCTATATTTTTGACTAGTGACCCAAATATTGTACACGTATTTAGTAGCAGAAAAGTGCCACTGTATCTGTGTCTTGAGTAACACAAAGAAAAATATAAAATATAAATGCCCACTCACAGAGTGTACTATCAAAGTAAGTAATCTCAGTGCTTCTATAGTTTGGCACTACTATATCATCACTGTTTCGTCCTGTCTTGACTTCCGGTCTGTGGTGTGCTCCTGGTAATGTTCCTGGTTTGATTTCCTGTCAGGATAGCTGATATGACGTCATGATAGCTGTGTGCACTTTATACAGTGGCCTACATGTCCCAATTATGTTTTTCGCTTGAGATAAAAAGACCCAGCAGCATGTGACTCCAGCACTTCTGTAACTACTCACAGGACAATTCCACAAGCTCTGTATATGCTGTTGTTGTCTTGCAGGTTTCCCTACTGAAGGCTGTGTTCACCTGATGAAGACAGGTGTAGCGGACAGATGCATGATCCTGCATTGTGAGTACCTCAATAACTCCGTTCAGGAGATATACACACACGTTAATCTGCTGAACCACTGCACCTGATGAGTAAAGACAAGTATGTACAGGATCTTCCATGTGTTGAGTGAAACAAAGATGAGAGAAACATGGTATTTCATGAGACAAAGGGGGAATCCTATGTATTATACACTTTTTTGTGGAGATGACTACCTGAAATGTTCTATTTCATTAGAATATAAAACCTTGAAACTTCACATGCAGGGACGTTTCAATACCTTTCGTAATTGCAACTTGAAAAGTATTTCCGCGTTCGCAAAATCTTTAAAAAACCATGCACAAAAGTAACAAATAATATTTTAAGTCAATAAAAGTCATACATTTGAATATGGCTACATACAAAATAAAGTCGAACAAAACATATTTTTGGAATCTTGGAGACCACTGTTGGAAGCGAAACAGTAAATACTGATTAAGACACACAAATGGCGCTTTGCGAAACAAACAGTCTCGACTGACAAGTTAAATGAGATTTATAATGAAACAATTTCCAGAGAATAACAAACCACAAGAAGCGATATTTACTCCATTAATGACCATCTGCCATTTTTTTGCCTTGTCAATGTAGAACTAAAGTGAAAAGGAAGCCAACAGGGGAGATAATTTGAGGGTAGGTAACTCCTGTAAGACAATGTTCATAGCAGTGAAATATTAAGTGTAATGTTCACTGCAAAGAAAATGTCACTTTCTCAAGTCCAGAATACTAAGCCTTTCACACTGAAGTATATAATAAAGCCCTCTCCTACAGCAATGCATATGATTTGGTTAAGTTGGTTCAAATTCGTTAAGTGTGTACCCAATACTTGCCTTGTGTCTCAGTGACTCGGAAGACTGAGTGGACGCCACTTTGAACATGTCCGGTACTTCACACATGCGATGGCACAAAGGATAAGATATGAAGTAATTCTTTAAATCCTTAACGTTTGGCATGAATTATACAGTCTCGATTATCCGCTGAAACAGATTTGATTATGCCTAAACGGCGAAATATCCGTAAAAATTATATGAATGGATAATTGAAAACAGTGATGACACAAGGTGTTCGCGAAAGCATGTCCTGCCCTACCGATAGTACACGTCACTCACAAAATGGGCATAAAAAGGTTTTCTTGACTCACTCGCATATCAGTATTCCTGCCATGCATTGGTGGCCTGTACACAAACCAGACAAGTGATGGACCAGACAGAGAAGCCACTGACACGACAGCGCATATACTAACAGACGGTGTCAGAGCAGACTTATAAGACTTACAAGTAGAGACATTTAAGAAAAGAAAACATATAAGAAATATGTTTGTTTTCTTCTGGTGATAAAATGGTTTTTAACATTGCAATCTTAGATCAAACAACGGGCGGTCGGGTAGCCTTGTGGTTAAAGCGTTTGCTCGTCACGCAGAAGACCCGGTTTCGATTCCCGACATGGGTACAGTGTGTGAAGCCCATTTCTGGTGTCCCCCGCCGTGATATTGCTGGAATATTGCCAAAAACGGCGTAAAACCAAACTCGCTCACTCACTCAGATCAAACAAAGTTCAACTTTGAAACAATGCCATATGCCTGCTGGGTCATGTGACCAATCTGTTGGCATCGATTGGGTGATAATGAGACACTAACGTCTTCATCTACTTGTTGATGTACAGCCATAATCAAGTGAGTTTCAGCGCAACACCTGTCACGTGACGGGGCTTCTTGATTTTGTGACTTATATACTCTTTAGTATATTTCTGTAAGTACATGTTCTTTCTTTCTATCATGTTGTGTCTTTGTAAGGCATTCAGAAGTGATACACATAAGGAAGAGGCTATATGGATGTCAACTTCTTTATAAGGAGGAACACAACGTTTCGGAGTATATGCTTACTCCTTCTTCAAGAAGTTGACATCCATATATTCTCTTCCTTGTCATGTTATGCACACGAATATCCGCTCTAAAGAGACCAAGCTGAACTTGACCAAATGACCTGGTGTGGCCTGGTCCGTACTGATTGGTATCCGTTCAGTGTTGAACAGGGTCGTTATACACACTGATTCCAGACAACATAGACACTGATTTAGGACATTCCTGGGGACTCTGTTCTCTTCTGTGCCGCTTCGTGTCATAACGCCGAATGTGAACCAACAAGAACTCTCGTGTGTATGCAGCTGTGCAACATTCAGGACGTCTGCTGAGTCAAGATTACATATAAAAGGGCTAGCAAAATGAAAATGTTCTCAGTGTTAATCTATCACGTACAGGCAGGCCCAATACATTGTTTTACGTTCCGCTCATGTTGTTACCATCAACACTGTTTACTGTGTCGTGCCTGTGTGAATCAGCTCGATTGCATTATTAGTTTATTTCTGTTTAAATCACCTACTTATTGACACTTGACAATATACACTCACAAACTTTCTTATGGTTTGTTTGTTGGTTGGTTAACGCCGCACTCAGCAATATTCCAGTTGTATGATGGCGGTCTGTTATAGATACACCACCCGTCGCTCACATGTAAATACACAACGTATCTGATGATTATCCCAATGTTATAGAACTATCATTGCTACACGTTGAACATGCCGTAGACAGTGTGTGTGGCCCCATTCTCCAAATACATGAACATCTGGGTTCAATAATCACGATTTAAGACACTGGAACTTCCACATGTACGTCCTGTCATTCCGCCTACTGACCTGGAGATGCGTTGAGACATGGACCTACCAGTCACCAAGCCTGACCACGCGATCCATGCACTCGTCTCTTGGCTGCTTGGGAAACATACTGTGGCCCAGAATCACCATGCCGTTAATTAGAAGAAAATGCATGCAAAGTTAAGTGTAATCAGCTGTAGGATGATGCATTTACAATGATGCCCCCCCTTGTTTGGCTCCATGGTACACCCCGTTATAACGCGCAAAGCAACACAGTTGACGATCGAAATGACACGGTGGGATGACAGTGGCCATTTTAAGTTTGGTGTAACTTCCATAGTTTGTTCAGGAAAGAAAGCCAAATGACGAAACGGACAATTTACAGAGAGAAAATAAGGTGAAATGGGGTCTGAATAATGTAAATTGTCCAAGATGATAGATAGATACAAGTATAGAAAACATAAGACGAATAGGTATTGATTAGATATCTCACACCATGGCCGAGGCATGAATACAAAATGCAATGTGTGCTAATAAGTAAACCTAACATTATTTTGGTATCCTTCCACCAATTTCCCCAATGAAGTAGGTATATACTCATTCACTCACCACCCACGCGAATAGCTGCAATACTAGTACTGGTAATTTTATAATAAGCAACAGTAAAACACTCACTCCCATGTAATGTCATGTTATTTTATGGAAAGGGTTTTGTCGATTGTATTTACAATATTTCAATCGTTTCTAACGGAAAATGCAATTTCACAACCTCTTATTACACTTATTCAATATTCCTTACCTGCATATATTATATCGGGAAACCACAGTAAATAGCTAGCGTTATTGATTAGTATTTACAGGTTTTATTTGGATAATTATGGTTTGCAACCATTGACAGAAATTATTAAAAATATTTCTTATTGATTATAATCAATAAAATAAATGATCCCGATTCCAAGGTCACTCGTGTGATCACAACTGGACATGGTACAGTTAGTTGGGTTCAATTTCAACTCTTAATACCCTCTCTGTGGTATAATAGAACTGTTTCCATGCACTGACACATGTACTATGCTTAACATCCGAGTTTCAAATAACCAACGATAGTCATAGAGTAAACTTTGATTTGCGACTATTATTTTTTAGAAATAAATACGTAATTTCATTAGTCGGTCAAAGTTCGCGAAAGGTCGTTCTGACGTGACCTGTAATGAGGATGTCCTCAGCGGTAGCGAGAACTCGTATCCGATTTTAAGAGATTGAGGTAATCTTGGCGGTTCCCTCCCATAACGTAGACCTCCAAAATGCAGCCCTCCCAAGAAGCAGTTAAAATTAGCTCACTAATTGATTGGGCCATGCTGGTCACACCTAATTAATGAATGGACTGGTCCACTTCCCCTGCTATGAGGGATTATCAATGAGCAGTAGTGGACAACAACAACATTGTCTTAAAAAAACTCCTCCTTTCTTTAATCTGCTCCCGGTACATCACAAATCTTATTCAAACATTACCTTTAAACAAGTTGTGGGATTTGTGTAAGAATATACCAATGTTCTCAATCACTTATACTTCCTTCTCTTGTGTATGGTATAACATACAAGTAGAGATTGCTGCAGAGCATCAATAGCTCCCCGCCATATAATGTTATGTGCAGAGGAAGGAAGTGTAAGCTATGGGAGGAGAGAATTTGTGTTAAGTACAAATTGGTTGTTATTAATGTACTTATCTTTGGAAAGCACAATAAAAGAAACAGTGTCTTTAATGTGGTCAGCACAAAGAAAACCCAGGCAAGAAAACTGGGCCTGTCAGGCAAAACTTGATGTATACCCACTATTAGTAACAAAAAAAAAATCCTATATAGATAACACAACATGCAGCAAATATCAATATTTCTGGTCAAAATGTTGGTTGGTTTAAATAAAGCAAACTTTTAAAATAGTAAACACAAAAAATGTAATGAATACACTCTAAATATACTTCAGTTCAAATGTAAAAATTCACGCAATCATTAATGGATTCCCATTAATCTAGCAGCAAGTTAGGAACATACAGTTTGGTCACGTTATCTATAAATATTGAGAATAATCTTACATATTGTAAAAACAAAGGCCATTGGTCACTTTTTCTCAAAACTTCGTTTAAGTAATCACAAACTAAAAATTGAAAAAATTGTAGATATATAAAAACACCAACCCCATTTGAACAACGTCTCTGTGAAACATGTGATGTCTCAGAAGATGAACAACATTACGCACTGTCTTACATAATACAACCAAGAAAGAGAATCACAAATAATCCCCAATCATTATAAAGAATTTGGTACACTCTGTTAAAAGGAGCAGATTCTTAATAAGTTTACCAACAGTTATCCAGAAACAACTTCCAAGATCTGTTAACATATCAACAATTACAAACAAATTCCTTGTACATGTATGTACTACATTACCATAGTTTTGCTCAATTCTCATATTGTTTCCATATCATTATAAAACACTTGTTTTAGAAATTAAATTCTACCTCTTTTGAATGTTGAATGTTCCTGTGTTTTTTAATTGTCGTTTATTGTGCATGTATTTTGTAGTTTGTGATTGTGCAATATTGCCACTGTTTCTTCATGGAATGTTCCGCAATACATATCTCATCTAAAACATCTTTGTTGTATAATAGTTTCTTACAGTTGTTTACGGGGACATGGTTGGCCCAGTCGCCGAAGGCGCTGCAATTCGCTATGCAGAGTTGTGTCCCTTGGGCAAGCCAGAAACCTATGACAGTGTGTTTGAATCTCGGTTCGCCCCGATTTTGTTTTCAGCACAAAACCCTTGCTCGTTGGTTTCACCAAAGTGGTGAACGTCTAAGACCTGCATCACTTCAGACTTTCATCCCACTTCAAGCTGACACGGAATACTATTCAAGACGGCGTTAAACCCAACTACCTCACTCACTCTTGTGTATGGTTCCGTTTGGTTAACTGGGTTTGTGTTGTGATTGCTTCCGGCTTAGATTGGAAATTTGTTTAGAAGAATGTTACTATGTTCAACCCAAACATCGTGAAAATATCATGCAACCGTATTATCTTTTTGGAAAATAATTGCAAACTACAGACCAACCTGTTGATTTCCTATGTATCCAGAAGCAAAGAACATATACGGGTGTATGATCTCTGCTGGAAGTTAATTTTTTTTGTCAAAGCAATAAACCATGCAGAAACGTAAACCGCCGCATGAAACGGTATGTACCATACATTACATACAGTGAAGTATTTAAAACAATGCTGTGCTCAACTATGCACAGCAAGAGCCATACATGTGATTATGAAGACAACTAATAAAAAATTTCTCATATCAAACCCGTTTCTTTACATGTGTTGTTTATTGAAGAAAGTCATACTTTATAGAAGCCTGTTATTTAATCGTGTTGAACAATATGTTGCAATAGCAGTGTGAAAATTGAGTGCGCGTGACAGGCTTGGCCTAAATTCCTTCCTGGAACGTTTCTCGATGGCTGCCAAAATATAGACCGGTTAACTTTAGCGAAATGGGATCATTTTTAGCTCTTTTAAAAACAAAATGAACAAATTTCATGGGTTATCAGCATTACGCAAAGTGACTAAGTCTCAGAATAGCAAGACGATTTTGAAGTATCTCTTATTGCCCGAAAAGAAAAACATCAACATTTCACGCACATTTCACATGGTTTGTATATTTCGTTTCGGTAACTGTGTGGCTTGAAATATCTAAGAAACCAACATGTCGACTTGCATGCTCCAAAATTAACCTCTCCCGTATACTTCCCCGCCTTAAGGGCGGGGAAGAATAAATATATTTGAACATGAGCGTCAACCTCCCGTGTGCGACCAAGTTCTCCTAGACGGCTACACGTATGCTAAGTACAGGACGAAGAATGAAAATGAGTACTTGAGGTTACGACATGGGTGGATGACGATGCCGGGTTCCCACCTCGACTGTGGATATACCATGCGACACAAGGGCCCCGTACAAACAACAACCTAGAAGGTTTCCACTCCAGAACTGATCCAGAAGGTAAAAATTTCGGAGAGAGCGAAACTAGCGCAGATTCAATTTGGAGCCGCACCGCCACCCAGGAAGGTTGTCTACAGAGAGAAGGAACAGCGTCATCGCCGTGAAAAGACACCCCTTCAGTACCTGGATGCAGTTGGTCCACTGATGATAAACAAGTGAAAATGACTGATAATCATGAAATAACATTTGAATAAGAAATTGTGAACTCTACCCAGCTTTCTTTCTTGTTACATGGGTGATACCATTTTACTTAAGGGTACAGAGTACTAAATACTGATGCAACCAGCCATAACGAGTGTTGTTTTAACGGGTCTGCGTTTTGGCAGGTCTACGTTTTGGGAGGATACCATCTAGGCATGTGATTAATCCTGTTTTGTTTATTTAAAGCAGTAATTGTTTATTGTTAAGCAAGTTTATCTGTGCAGCCGTTGAAATATGCAGCTACTCGACGACTCGTCTCGCATCAAAACACAGACTCTGTAATCGCGGGCAGATGACCACGGAGTACGCTGATCACTGTGTCGGATTAACGAGACTGATTAATGAGTGATTTCGGTAATTTGTTGCAAGTTAGGTGTGTCGGAGATCCAATCCAGTGTTTGACATCATAAGCATCGATCCACGCAATTGGGATACGATGACATGCATCAACCAAGCCAACGAAACTGACCACCCGATCCTGTTAGTCGCCTGTAATGGCAAGCAAGATTTATTATCTTCACGGGTCTGGGGTAAGGTTGTTCGAATAATATTTGCATATTTACATTCAATTTAGCTGCTTTTAGTCCCAACAAGTTCTTCATAAAGAAACCAGAAGGACATTATAACATACATCTACTCCACATTACAATCTACCAGAATATTCCAGAAATATATCAAAATAATGGGGTTTATTGTTTGTGTCCTGTACTGACAATGCTGTCTTACCAAACGATCATCCATCGTCAACCTACGTGCGTCCTGCAACGTGCCACACAATACTTCACCAGCTTCTAGATGACGTCACCAGGTCACATGACACTGTGATCTCAACACTGATATTCAATCTGCATGTTCCTCATTATACCACGTTCATTCGTGTCTCTGTTATAACACGGTGTACATTGTGATTGCGTCTGTTCGCCCACTGTGTGATTGTCGTGCTCTGTATATCCCCACGTATTTGTAATTCAGAATCTCAACTGCAAATATTTCTGATTTCTGTGACGTAATTAATGTTGATGTCGTGTGTCTGCCGTTCTGAATAATTTGACAACTGACGAGCCAGGCACTAGACCTGTCACTTACTAATTCTACAGTCGGGTTAAAGGATTATCAGTGAATCCAATGTTAACACAAAGATCCAAGGTATTACATAGAAGGTTTTATGTTCTTATATTATACTGTTTGTATATAAGTACATTGTGAATTTCTTTCATTTAAATATCATTATAGAACTTGACTATCACTATTTGTCTTATGTTTTATTCACAAGTAAACTACATTCATATGTTGTAGGTATACATCTGAAGTATGACAAAGACAGAGTCAATCTCGACTACGTCCACATCAACACAGAAGGAGACCTGGTCAACAGAGAGTCGGGCACCAGACCTGCAGGGGAGGGGAGACTGAAGGCGTATGATGGCACATGTAGCACTGCCCCCCTCCCCCGGGCTGGCTGTCCCCAGTACTGGGAGATGAAGTCGAGGGTCAGTCTTGACGAACCACTCACAGAGGACTGGCTCATCCTGGAGTTGGGTGTGTGTGGGGAGGAGCAGAGGGACGTGTGGCATTGTATCAGTGGACAACCCAGCTCCTGCAGCATGCAGGTCGCCCACTGTCACTGTACTACACACGGCGGGATATGCAGGACGACATGGAAGGAGGGGAAGTATGTGCTGTGTCTGCCTGACACTCTCCCCAACACAACAGGGGCATCACACACACTACATTACGGTGTTGTCTATGATGACGCCAGGAAGAAGATTGTCTTCATTGATGTGAAGGAGAACAAAGTGATGTCGACGTTAGACAATGTAGACTCCAGTCAGCCACTGTGGCCGATGTTCGGGGTGTATATGCCCTCATTGGGTAATGTCAGCATGACACTTGTAGTGGGCAGCGACATCAACATGACAGAGGAGAAGAAAGCAATGATTGTCAAGGCGCTGTCGTGATGGTGACAGTGATTGTCAAGGCGCTGTCGTGATGGTGACAATGATTGTCAAGGCGCTGTCGTGATGGTGACAATGATTGTCAAGGCGCTGTCGTGATGGTGACAATGATTGTCAAGGCGCTGTCGTGATGGTGACAATGATTATCAAGGCGTTGTCGTGATGGTGACAATGATTGTCAAGGCGCTGTGGTGATGGTGACACTGATTATCAAGGCGTTGTCGTGATGGTGACAATGATTGTCAAGGCGCTGTCGTGATGGTGACAATGATTATCAAGGCGTTGTCGTGATGGTGACATGATTGTGAAGGCGCTGCCGTGATAGTGACACTGATTATCAAGGCACTGTCGTGATGGTGACAATGATTGTCAAGGCGCTGTCGTGATAGTGACAATGATTGTCAAGGCACTGTCGTGATGGTGACAATGATTGTCAAGGCGTTGTCGTGATGGTGAAAATGATTGTCAAGGGGCTGTCGTGATGGTGACAATGATTGTCAAGGCGTTGTCGTGATGGTGACAATGAATGTCAAGGCGTTGTCGTGATAGTGATAATGATTGTCAAGGCACTGTCGTGATGGTGACAATGATTATCAAGGCGTTGTCGTGATGTTGACAATGATTGTCAAGGCGCTGTCGTGATGGTGACACTGATTATCAAGGCGTTGTCGTGATGGTGACAATGATTATCAAGGCGTTGTCGTGATGGTGACATGATTGTGAAGGCGCTGCCGTGATAGTGACAATGATTGTCAAGGCACTGTCGTGATGGTGACAATGATTGTCAAGGCGTTGTCGTGATGGTGACAATGATTGTCAAGGCGCTGTCGTGATGGTGACAATGATTGTCAAGGCGTTGTCGTGATGGTGACAATGATTGTCAAGGCGTTGTCGTGATAGTGACAATGATTGTCAAGGCGCTGTCGTGATGGTGACAATGATTGTCAAGGCGTTGTCGTGATGGTGACAATGATTGTCAAGGCACTGTCGTGATGGGGACACTGATTGTCAAGGCGCTGTCGTGATGGTGACAATGATTGTCAAGGTGCTGTCGTGATGGTGACAATGACGGTGATATGAACACACACAGATTTGTAGTAGACACTCACTGCTCAGGAACAACTGCGGACTGTGGTAAATACAAGCATTATCAACTTATTGTATCAAATTGTGTATATCTTTTGGTTTAACGTGAAATATGTTGTATGCAATGAGTATATTTAGCACAAAATATCAAATATATATTTAAATACACTCTCAAGCATTTCTATAAGACATTTTGCTACAACAATTCCCTTGGATCATTTCTTACGACAAAATTCCAGAACGTATTTTACACCCGCTTCAGTGGGACTAAAAAAAAACACATGCACCCTGAGTGATACTCCAACAACGAATTTATCTTACCGACATGTTTTAAACTCATTGCAAAAGAATTAAAACAAATCCAAAATTGATGGAAAACAGCTGTTCGAGTGAGCTGAGGTTAAATTTAGCTATGTCACGCGACGTTGCGTGACTCGAAAAAATATATTGTGTTTTTTTTTTGCTTCGAAGCGTAGAATAAGGGACTTCTTCGATCCCAAATCACGTACAACCTGTCTTGTTCGAGGCGGAGCATAAGGAATTCATTCATTTGTTTTTCGTTTTGTGTGTGTGTGTGTGTTGGGGGGGGGGGACTAGCCTAAATAACTGACTGGCATTTTCTGGCATTTCTTTCAAACATTATATTTGTTTGGAATAACAGAAACATGGTTTCAGATTAGCTCGGGCAGCAAACCACGGAAGACTGTCAGGGGGTATAACCCCCAGTTCGAGAAAATCATCATTCAATCATAGATATGCCTTTACAGGAGAGAACGCTATTTTCCTAGTGCTGCACAAGTCTTTGTTTGATTTAGAAAATGGTGTCTTTAGTGTGTTCTTATATCAATCCTGTGATTGCGTCTCCACCATTGCTTACACAATGCTCTGCATTCGATGTCATGTCGAGGTTAGACTCGTTACACCTGCCACTAACTTATAGATTTTCGTCCAGAAACTGAACTCTCATCTGATGGATAACAAGTTGAACCAACCTCACCACACACTGACGACCCTTTCGCTCAAACAGAATCTTGAATGACGAGTTGATTACAGATTTTACGAACACTTCCAGACTCTTCCAGACTTCCTGATTTTTTAGATAGAGACTTGAGAGAACACGATTGACCGTAGCCTTACTACAAGTTGTGACCACAAAATAATTTAATGGTCTCTGCTACAAGGTTGCCCTGTGTGTTTAGTAAGCCTGCCCTTACAAAAGGCAAGTCTAGATAAGTGAACTGTAAGCCAGTCTTACAGGGACAACGTGTTCTTATTATTTATATAATCTAGAAATTAGCAAATAAGTCTGAACACATGAAATGAGCTACATGTATTTTACTCACTCACTCACCAAACCACTCAACTCACTCTCATTCACTCGCTCATCTTTGATCAATATATGTCGACTGTAATTATTTCCCATTGAACACAGTTACGCGACGAAAGATGTTTTTTGTATTGAATAATAATAACTGACCGAACTAGAAATACCAGTTTCGTAATATTTCATGTCCGAATAAAAATATGTTCTTTATTGTAATCAATGGTTATTTTGTAACCGTCGACATGTGGAATAGATCTTCAGCAACCCATGCTTGCCTCAAAAGGTGACTATGCTTGTCTTGAGAGGCGACTAACGGAATCGGGTGGTCAGGCTCGCTGACTTGGTTTGATGCATGTCATCGTATCCCAATTGCGTGGATCGATGTTCATGATGTCAATCACTGTATTGTCTGGAATATTGCTTAGTGCAGGGTCACACACACACACACGAAGCAGACTTCACTGGTTTAAGAGATATTTGCTTATTGGAATACTAAGTCGGCTATTGTGGCCAATACTGTTACCAGTCATCACATTTGCATGAAAATAACATATTTACGATGATCAAAGTTGTTGTTGATTATCATTAAAAAACAGCATGGTTCATGTTTAATATAAGAATTAAAGAAATAGAGAATAGAAATTTTAAAAAGGTTGTTTATTAACTCTAGAAGTATTTTTCCTTAGGTTAATATTTGACCGTATGGGTACGTTTCATAAAATGACAGTATTAGCTGTAAGTCAGGTCATGTTCTTATGCGTTGCTATTCGGTGTGCAGAGTTGGGTTCCATGGGCACGCCAGAAACCAATGATGGTTGGTTCGAATCCCGGCTCGCCCGGATTATGGTGCTATGTTTGTCAGCACCACATCTGCGCTCGTAGGTTTCACAAAAGGGGTAAACGTCTGAGACAAGCAGACCTTTTGTGTTAGCTCCCACATCAAGATGGCACGTGAGGCAACTGGAATACAGTAAAATGCAGCGTTAAACAACTGACTCACTCTGATCAAATCTGAAATAAGCTCTAATTGATATCCTGTGACGCCCAACATCACCTTACACCCACCAGTTTATATGTATAGTTGCATATTCGTCAGTCTAAGATATGAGCACAGATGGATATCCTGTGACGCCCAACATCACCTTACACCCACTAGTTTATATGTATATTTCTATATTCGTCAGCATAAGATTTACATAAACATGTTTCTTACCAGTAAGTCAATGGTACTTAGATCTCTTTCAGGAACTTGTCAGTCTGTTTATGTGGATTGAATAACAAATGATATAATTTACATCAAAGATTTTATGGGCGCCTTTTCTCATCGGGCGATAACGTTTAGCTGCAGGCAGTGAGTGTTGTTTGGTTTGGTGCTGGTAAAGTCTTAGTTACAAAGTTCCGACATTCTTGTTAGAGACTGAATATTTTGTCAGTAAATGCTTCATTGCAACATTAAGTCTGGGATGAGTGAGTGAGTGAGTGAGTTTGGTTTTATGCCGCTTTTAGCAATATTCCTGCAATATCACGGCTAGGGACACCAGAAATGGGCTTCACACATTGTACCCATGTCGGGAATCGAACCCGGGTCTTCAGCATGACGAGCGAACGCTTTAACCACCAAGTCTGGGGTGAGGCATGCAAGGCGTGAAACACACGTTACATTGATACAACATAGAGTCAGAGGTGAGGTAGTTAGTTCTTGTTAGAGACTGAATATTTGATTGATGAATGCTTCAATACAACATTAAGTCTGGCGTAAGGTATGCAAGGTATGCAAGGCCTGAAACACACATGTCACATTGATACAACATTAAGTCTGACGTAAGGTATGCAAGGTATACAAGTCCTGAAACACATATGTGACATTGATACAACTTTGACTTGTCACGTTTGCTCATACTATCAGTCACTGGTTTGTATGGTCAAGACTCAGATATATAAAGGTCACAGCCACATAGATGAAATATTGCTGAGTGTGACGTTCAACAAGCAATAAAAACGCATCTTATAGGTCTACAAATCTTCGACTCTAACACCCTACAGCGAAGAAGACGCTGGGGACAACGAACACTAAGGGGAACAACTCTTGTTCCCTTAATATCGTTCAGATATGTCAGAAAATGTACAATAACTAGAGTGAGCGTCTCTCCTATATCAAAGCGCTCATGTTATACACACTGTTTGTCTGTGAGAGACTTGGCTTTGTGGGACACTTCTTTATACATACATTTAGATAGGTATGTCAGGGACGTGACAAATACATAGCTTTCATTAAATGTAAGGGACTGGGATTATACACGGTTGTTGAACTAAAGATGCTTGATCTATACACGGCCTTGCATGCAATGGGTCATAATCGATTATCCAGAGTAGTGTATCGCCATTCTGCTATGATCAATACCCTGAGCCCATTTGCCACCATAGCATCATCCCGGAAGTGACGTCACCAGCTCCATCTCTCTTATCAATAACTTAGTACCAACTTCTTCTCGCGCATGAGCGTGCCGTCAACAACCAATCAAAATGACTCTTCTAAATGTGAGTTTGGCATAGATCTACATTCAGAATTGTAGCCTCGCCCGAGCAAACGCTCGTTGTAGATACACGAATCACAAGACTGTTATAAAGGATTTTGGGGATTGAAAACAGTGAGGGAGTGAGTGAGTGAGTATGGTTTTACGCCGTTTTTAGCAATTTTCCAGCAATATCACGGCGGGGGACACAAGAAATGGGCTTCACACATTGTACCCATGTCGGGAATCGAACCCGGGTCTTCGGCGTGACGAGCGAACGCTTTAACCACTAGGCTACCAGACCGCCCCTAGGATTGAAAACATGTATCCCTGAGTACTGAGACGGGAGACCCGTGAACATCCGGGGTAGAATAGCTCTTTAGCAACCCATGCTTGTGGTAAAAGGTGACTATGCTTGTCGTAAGAGGCGACTAACTGGATCGGGTGGTCAGGCTCGCTGACTTGGTTGATGCGTGTCATCTATATCCCAATTGCGTGGATTGATGCTCATGATATGAATCACTGGATTGTCTGGTCCAGACCGCCATCATAAAGCTGGAATATTGCTGAGTGCAATTTACACACTAAACCAACTAAGACGGGGAAGCGAAGTCCTTTGTCTACAATAAGTTCCGCTGGCATGTGACGGCATTATTACCGTATATAAGACAGCGATGCCTTAAATCGCAAAATACAACGAAGAACGAAGCGTTGTTTATTTCACGATAAAGTGTTGTTCTTTCATGACGTTTCTTCTGGAAAATCGAATACTTATGAGAGGTAATTTGTGTGGTAAGTATTCCCCCAAAGATGTAGCTGGGCAACGCAGATAAACGATCGCATCCAAAAGAGGGAGAGATATGACAATCGGTACAAGGTGAAAAGTACAGAAGATCGACGTGACGGCGTGTGAAAGTGAAGGCGAATATTGGTGGTATCGCGGCTTTTTGAAATGATGAAAGATGTTATATGACTGGACGTCTATTTTCTGCATCCAAACCGGACTCACAAGGGTCTTATTGTGGTGATTATACAGGTGATTAAACGTTACTGGAGGAGTGGGCTTATTCATAAGTTTGTATAATGCTGGCTTCCACAAGAATTAAAACACATCTGTGACCTAATTCTATTGTTTGAACGCTCCATTATTTTTCAGGAATGGAGAGTTGCTTGTCAACTGTAAATTATCTTGAAGCAGCATTTGAATTTTTAAAATATTTTCAACAACAGAATAGTTTGTCAAAGTGTAAAAGTAGGGATGAGTTTTAAGTAGGGGAATATCCTCGCAACTCTCCATTCCTTAAAAATAATGGGCCTCGGCCCCTGCGGGGCCTCTGCTCCATTATTTTTAAGGAATGGAGATTTACTCGGACATTCCCCTCTATATATCGCCTGTGTAAGATCAAACGTATCTCATAGACGTTATCACTACCAGGACGTGCATTACAGTGCTTGGAGGGTCATTGTGACGTTTTGACATTATGTATATTGACTGATGTTGCCACTTATTTGACCCACTGTCTTGACCGTTCTGACTATGAACCTAAAATGTGTGGATTATTATCGTTATTGATTATGTATAACTCTTGTGAGGTCATTTAGTTCTGTGATTGTCGATTTATGGGCTAACCTCTGCGTTTCAGTTTTTAAATTGAACTTACATTAAATTACCATGTTGTCGGGGGTGATGCCAAGAGAAAGATTATCTGCATCGATGGACAATCCATAAATATTATCATTTTGTTGTTTGTCACGCGAACTATGTGGACTACCAAGAAATGCTTCAGGAGACATCAAGGGAAATTATATGCTCGTTATACAACAATTTTCGCGAGTCGAATCCACTTCAGTGTAATGTACACTTTACGGTAAGCCAGGGAGTAACCTTTTATCCAAACTATCGCCGATTGGCACAGTTCGGTAGGCTGCTGTGGGTTCGTCGAAAACTCTGGTTTGATTCTCCCTATATGTACAGCGCGGGAAACCAGCAATTTCCAGTGCCCATCCCCTCCCCGATCTAACCGTCGTGATTTGCCAAGAACAAGGCATAATGCGGCATGTACCACAACTCACCCACCCACGCACGATCGATACCCACAATTATATTCTTAGGGGGTGTCACGAACATCAAGGAATTATCATTCTACGCCCGTGAAGATCCAGGTTAGATAACCCATGTTTTCTGTGAACAGCGAATCTGCTTATCGTAAGAGGCGAATAACGGAATCGGGACCAGACAGTCCAGTGATTGATATCATGAGTATCGATCTACGCAATTGGGAAAGGATGGCATGCATCAACCGAGTTATCGAGACTGACCACCTGATCTGGTTAGTCACCTCTTACGTAAAAAATAGTCGCCACTTAACAAAAATAATGCGTTGCCAAAGACCTTTCCTAACCCGGATCTTTACGGGTTCCAGTAAGAAACTGGACTTTGATAAAGGGTCTGGGCGTGCATAGCAAGATCCTCGCTTAAATTTCAATAATATGGTGATGGGTTTAAAACAGCAGATGAACTGACCACCGAGAACATACCACGTCCATCTGCCTCATAGAACAAATGCTATAGAAACAAACCGAGTTTGTTTAACAACACCCAGTTGTATGACATGTACATTTGGGCCCATCTTCCAGAGGCAAGGGCGTTTACTGACTATACAAGTCTAGTTTTCATCTTTGCCGCACTAGGGTGGAAGTCCGGAGTTCCATTTTGGCTGGACTAGAGAGTCTATGAATATTTCCAATCAAAATCGCGTAACTAACTAGACATCTGGTTCGTTTAACAACATGGATTACAACGTGCAGATTTCGGTCGACTGCAGGATTTGCAAAACATGTGTGCCGTCAACTCGGCGTCGACATATATTTTGTTAATCTTTTCAATTTCTTAAACAAGGTACTCACGTGATTTGATGCACTTTGCGGGTTAAGACCCGTTTTTTAACAATGAAGATCAGTCCAAAAGACACGTGGCCACCTTCGAGGTCTGGAGGATAGAGCGTCTGCCCGGGGAGCGGAAGGTAGGTGCTAAGTTGCGATATTATTGAGGGCAATATCATTGAATACGAGGTTACACCATTAAATTCACTCTGCACAGCAATTATCTTCACAAGTCATGATGTGGGGGTAAAACAGGATTACATAGAAATAATAATCAATCATCACAGATATATCAAATACAGTAATAACCCTAATAAATCTCATTTCTTCAGGATTTCATCACATGGCTTGACTGTAAAGCTAATATTGCAGTAATGGTTGCATGGTGATGAGAGGTGAGGTGAAATGGGGTTTAACGTCGCGTCCATTATTGTTGCACTTATATGGCGACGTACATGCACGTGTGTTTATGTAGCTGCTTGTATTACTCTATACTAATGCCGATTTATAGTGCTAGCTCACTGACATACCATGCCGCAGTTCAACATGAATACCCCACTCAGGCACAGTATACCGACTCCGAGCCGACCAGTCCTTGTTAAGTCTGTTAATGCCAAGCGCAGGGTAACAACAAGTGCCATCTTTAGGCATCCTTTGGTATGACTCGGCCGAGGATCAAACACCGGAGCTTTTGCTATCCAGGCGGACTCTCTACCTCGAGACCACGGAGGGTACAAATGCAGGGTATAAGGTAGACACGTATTTAATCAGTTAAAGATCAAAGCAGCCTCCTCCCGTCTAATCTAGCAAAACAGATCACACGATGTCCACTTGCGTCAAACCCGCTCCTTCGAAATCCTCGCTAAAACATATTCACAAAACGAGCAGTATTAGCCTCGTGAAATAGAACTGAATGAATTTCGTGATATATCCAAACGACGGTTTCTTTTCAGGTTACACGGAGGGTCAAACAAACATTTCAGTGTTCGCATAAACTGGGTATGCATGTGCATAAAAAACACATTTCTTTCCTTATCGATAGAATGCAACGACAGTCACAGACGTATACAATTGGATTGCAATTTCATTGAACTTATCAAAGTTAAATAAATCTGCGAAACCATCATTAGATCCGGACCACCTCCGTGGTCTAGTGGTAGAGCGTCCGCCCGGAGAGCGGAAGGTCCGGAGTTCGATCCCCGGCCGCGTCATACCAAAATACAATAAAAGATGGTACTTGTTGTTACCCTGTCTGGTACTCGGCATTAAGGGCTAAAGCAAGGATTGGTCGGCTCGGAGTCAGTATACTGTGTCTGAGTGGGGTATTATTGTTATACTGCGGCATGGTATCTCAGTGGGCCAGCACTATAAATCGGCATCAGTCCGGACTAGTACAAGCAGCCACATACACCCACACACACGTGCATACACGTCGCTATATAAGTGCAATAATCTTGGACGCGACGTTAAAAAAAATTCCACCTCACCTCACCTCACCATCATTAAATCCGAGAACTATCATCATCATATAACTTTGTTTCCTATGAAACTATGGCCTATAATTTATAATATCAACAGCTTCAAGGTAAAGTGACCAACATATCTGAGTTGACAAAAATAATGATTTCAATTTCTATTTGTAATTCTTATATATGCATTTATAATTCGGTATACATAAATACTTCAAAAGGATGTGTTGTCTTCTCATTAAAGGAAATAGACACTGTCATTATCATCGTGAACGAAAATATTTATATAGGTTCTAAAATATAACACACTTGTAATAAGATAGTTTTCCCGCGTAATTGTCCGGAAGTGACCTGCGTATCACAGAGGAGGAAGTCACCTTTCTAGGTTGGTGTGTTTGTGTCTCGTCTCTCACTTTGTCTTCCTATATACAGATAACTGTTCCATATCCAGTGTCAAAACTTGCATGTTTATGTCACGACACTATCAGGCTACTGTAGGTGTTACATATACCTCTATTTTTACAGTGTATATCCTGAATATCAGTGTTTGCTGATTGCTACCCATTCCTACTTTCGTTTTACAACGAGGCCGGACTTCATTCCAACAAGTCATGACCCACTTTTGCTGTTATGGTGTATAATAGAAAACACTCGGCCGCGTCGCCGTGTATAACAGAGGTATAGACAGACATGTCCTTGCTTACACTACAGCGATAGTGACTGTATTTAGACGGCTTATAACTGTAGAATATACACACTGTGTAAGATAAGAGGAGGTTATTTCCTGTTATTGTGAATTATGGAATGGCGATGCTTATCATGTGTACACCCTATTGATTCTATGTTGTTGCTGAATGTACATGTACAGTGAGGATCCCTCATAGGAGGGTAGGGTTGCTGTGTGTATGCAATGAGTGGCCTTGAACGCTGCTTTAGGCTTTGTTTGTTTGTTGTTTAACGCCGAACTCAGCTATATTCTAGCTATCTGACGGCGGTCTGTCAATTATCGAGTCTTGACCAGACAATCTAGTGATTGACATCATGAGTATCGATCCACGCAATTGGGATAGGATGACATGCATCTACCAAGTCAGCGAGCCTGACCACCCGACCCCGTAGTCGCAACTTACGACAAGCATAGTCGCCTCTGCTTTAGGCAGGCTGTAAACAGATGTTTATACATTAGTAAAGATAGAGTGTTGAATTATTTTGTTAAAATTAGATTGGAGATGGTGGAATGTAGTGTAGATGCGGAAATGATAATATTTGAGACATGGCTTTATCATTGTGATTCTTTTCACGTGCTGAACGAACTGGTGCTCCTTGTTCTGGAGTACATGTATTGGGTGTGTATTGTTTCTGAACATACGTGTATAGTGAGAGGTACATGTACTGGTGCTATGCCTTTCACGCATTAGTGGATTCTGTAAAATGAGTAGGTACTTATTGAGGAGTATATCAAGAAGTGAAATACGCTCTGCTATGCAGGGTTATGTTTGAAGTAGTTGAATTGTGGTTTGTGTATTTTGTGGATAGTTGTTGTATGATATAAATGTTAGTGTTAATTCTTCAAGTATGTAGTCAATATAGCTGTTGTAAAGCACAGTTTAGCACATCCACCCATTGTGATATGGCCCTTATTCATTTTGTCAGTGTAATACCTGCCTAACACAAATGCCAGTCGGTGTTTGCGACATTGCCCTGCATGCCATGTTCATTCTGCGAGCATAGTGTGTATATAAGAGAGTGAGGTAGTATGGTTTCTCGCAGCTTTCAGCAAAAGTCACCGGTAATTGGTTTCGCGCATTGTACCCATGCTGGGAATCGAACCAGTCTGGACTAGTGACTGCTCCACCTACTAGGCCACCCACCGCCCAGCGGTAGATAAGACATCTAGAAGTAATTTGTTTGTATGGACCCGCCCACTACATTTGCCCCTGTCTCTACTATACTGTTCAGGAACGATTTTCTGAATTCATATTTAGTTTTTGTACCCTTTTTTCCTTTTTGTGCGTCAGATTCACAAGTGAACCAATGCCATAATTTAATATCTGACACTTAAACGACCAAACAGAATTTAAAGCAACCATGTTTACAATGATGTTTCATGTAATGCAAAGATGGTCTCAGAAAAGCATGTTATTACCCTGTCTGCCAATTTAAAAACGTACCACATATTCAGGGAAACTTAAGTTGATCAACACAAACCTGGCATGTCTACACCAATGCAATGTGGATATGTATCGCAAAGTTGGTCAGTATTGTTTTCTGTCTTTCAGAATGGACACCTTCCCCAAGTGTTCTGTCTGTCAGCAGCAGTTTACCCTGAAAGGTCCAGTCCCCTACTTACTGCCCTGTCTACACGCTGTGTGTGAGACGTGTGTGACATCTGCAGCTGGTGGTGTGATATCATGCTCTACATGCCAGAGGGAGGTCAACCTCACAGACACAAGTCTCCAGAAGGATGCTGTGAGACAGAAGGAAATATTCCACCTCACAGTCAAATATCGCCCCACAGAGCTCCTCTGTACAAATGACGATGATGGCAACCAGGCTGTGTGTTGGTGTGAGGAGTGTGAAGACTTCCTCTGTGAATACTGCCAGAACATGCACAGCAGCTTCAAACGTACCAGAAACCATCCCGTGCACAAGTTTGGGGATATTATTCCGCAAAATCTTGGAAATGAAACAAATTGCAGTATTCACAACCGTTATCCACTTGATTTGTTTGACAAAACCTGCAACATGTCTATCTGTGGTCGATGTAGCAGAGGAGACCACGCGGATCACGAGGTTGAGGATCTGGATGAGGCTGCTGAAGGCGTTAAACAGCGGATTGAACAACACGGGAGAGATCTGTCGGCGCTACTGTCTCGTCAGCAAACACACCTTCAGAGTATCAGACAAGATACAAAGTTAGCAGACAGGACGCAGAACCCATTGAGAGAGACAATAGGACATACGTTCCAGTCTTTAAGATCACAGCTTGACCAAAGGGAGAAGGAACTCTTGATTGATCTTGAAAGTCAGACCAGGGAAACCAAGGCAACTCTCCGTGCTCTTCAAACCTCATGTGAAGAGGATCAAGCAAAATGCACCGGGGTTTTAGATTACATCAGAAAAAGTGTTATCTATGCATCAAAATCGGTTCTCCTTCAGCTGGAGAGTTCTGTTGAGGGGATAACTCGGACATGCCTAGAAACTGCTGCACCTCAAACACACGATGTACCCACAGCTGCCTTCAACAACAACGGCTTGTCTAAACTGAAATCAGATATGTCTGCATTTGGTACCATCACTGCTTCAAAAGAAGAGATAGTAGACACAGGTGATGGTATGTAAATAAAAACAGTTCTTGTCCTTTATGAATGATATGTGCCAAAATTCTGAAAAACAGAATTCATGTTTTTCATGTAGTTTTCACACAGTATTATTTTTAGTTCCTACTTTTTCATAATTTGGTTCTACAATTTCAGATAAGCAAACACAGACTGATGATGACTATTTGGCGGACCTGGAACAGAAACACGAAATGGTATGTAAAATTAGCTAAGAATTCATATAGGGAGAAAGCCCAGTCAAGTCTTCACCATACCAATCATAATAGTGTATGCATTTTATATAAATATTTTAGAAGCACTTTGAAGACGAAAATAGCAGTCTGCAGAATCTCCAAGATTTGAAAGCGCCCGACATTAAAGGATAAAGATTCCATGCCGAGTGGCAAGTCAAGTGTATTCGGACAACACAATCCCAAACATTATGTCAAACTGCAGTCAAGTCAAAGTCAAAGTCAAGTCAAAGATATTTATTGCATGTAAGGCCTCCGGCCCATATACAAGAGAGTTACAAATAAGTAGTTGTACATATTTGGGTATATATTCATGTTTAACCATTTGTTTCTGAGGGAAATTACATTTTTAACATATATATAGCCAGTTTTAATATGACAGAATCATGTTATGAAGAAAGAAGAGAAATATAAGCAGGTACAGGATAATTTGACAGATAGCGTTCTGGTATAAACTTTCTTCTAGGGATCACAATAATAAGGACATACAAACGTAAAATGAATTTCATTTCTATAGCTGAATGACATAATGGGCACAGCCTCTTCGTCTTTTCAATGGACATTTTTCTTCCTTCAATTATCATGACATCTAACAATCCAAGCCTAAATTGAATTTATGGACGTCGAAGATTTCTTGATGTTAATGTTCATAAGTATTTTTCTGGTTTAATAAATGTTCTTTACAAGTCATACCTTGAACATGCCATTCCTGATTTATAGATTGTTTACGAAATTGTTTCAAAAGGAGTTTAACATCACCAGCTGGTTGGTTTAGCCATACAAAACCGTAGCCATGAGAAAACAAAATGTTTCTAATATGTGATGCCCATGTTACTTTGCCCATATCGTCTAAATGTACAAGCATATTATAAGCAAGTTTGATGATTAGGCGTTCATGCATTCCAAGAATATTAAACCAGTATTTCAAGCATCTAATTTGGTAGTTGATGTATAACGGGTATCTGCCACACTCGCCATATACCATACAATTGGGTGTTGGTGGACCAACAGATAAGAAATGTCAGAAAGATGAGATGCTTATATTAGTGGAGATAGCATATATTTGATGTGCCACGTGTTAGAGCGTGGCGTTTGTGTCTTCCCTCCATTCTGGTGTAGTGTCTGTTGATGCGGCGAGCAAAGCGACATATGTTGTTAATCCAACTATTCTAATTATCCACATCATCCCTCCAGCCTAAAGATATCTGCTGGTTTTTATGTTCTATATCTAGCAGCTATCCGTATCCGATCAAATAGTAGATAGTATCAAAACCACTGTGTTTGATGACAGTATCAGAGATGGTGGCAGGGGCACCTGGGCAGATCAAAGCGTTACCACTAGAACGTGACGTTTGCTTTCTTTACTTCGCAGGCCCAAATCATGCGATGGACAAAAACTCTTGATCAAACAATATTAGCATCAACCTGATGTAACTGAAAGGAAGTCATTTTACAGCTGGATTTAAACGTATTATTGTACAGCCTCGAACTTCTATCAAAAGGTATGTTTTACTTTTCAGGAACTTCCAGAACTGGAATCAGATATTGCTTCAGATTTGGAGAGAATTGAAATACTTCAAGCCCTAACGGACAAATTGAATGATGAAGCAAACAACATAAACTTGGTTTATATATAATTTTGTCACACTCAATGATTATAATCACAGGCATATTGTTATTTGATATGGCACTGACATTCATTATATATCTGTTCAGTATATATTCCAACTTTTGGAGAGAGAGAGAGAGAGAGAGAGAGAGAGAGAGAGAGTGAGAGAGAGAGAGAGAGAGAGAGAGAGAGAGAGAGATTCTGAAAATCGCTGGTAACGACATAATGTCTGCTCCAAAGGAAACTTCCACACATTGAATACCCAATGATACCCGCAATTCTGGTGGAAACACATGCTGTCACCTCCTACACCATGTCCACAATACAATATCGTTTGTGCACAAAGGAGGCTGACATCGGTTCATTGGTCTACACGTTTGTTTCACATTTTCAGGTGACACTTTGTGTGACATCCTCGCAGTAATCCAGGATACTTCTTGGCACAACAGACAGGGATTAGATGACACTTTGTGTGACATCCTCCCAGAAATCCAGGATATTTGTTGGCACAACAGACGGGGATTGGATTGCTTTGAATAATACTTTAATGTGTAATCCGGGGGAAGAACTGCCAGCTAAAACCTGACTGATTGACCCTTCTGTTTGTTTTGTCCAGACTTGATATCTCCAAGCTCCCTTTTTCCAGTTCACGGCAAAACAACCATTTATCCCATCAATAATGTTTTAATTTGTTTCTTACAGAGATATACATGTCCTTGATATAAATATTATCATCCTATTTGGTTAATATCTCATGACCAGCCAGTACATTTTTTCCTTTGTAGACGCTAGCTGAGAAAGACGAAACCTGTAAGATCGCCTCAGAGACCATTGGCCGTCTACAAACATCCTTGATTGGTATGTACAGAAGTATTTCTGAATACCTTGGCCAATCTCAGTTACATGTACACTACATTTCAAAATGAGAGAAAACAGCAAATTAGAAAATATTTTTACATTTCACCAAATATGTACAAAATGAATTTGCTTTTTAATAGTAAAACATTAGAAACACTTAGAAACTGCTGCTATTTAACTCCATCAATATATGCGTAACTGAACCCTTTCCTGCATTTTTATTTTGTGAAGCCACTGCTTGGTGAATCTGTTGTTATATATTGTATATTTGTATATAGTGATGAATACACGTTTTTTTTGCATGTGCGCAACGTAATCGAAAGCACACAAAATTAATGTATATCAACTTCCGGTGTTTCCGGAGTAAATATCGTCCATATGCAGTCCACATATTGTTCCTGATTGCATGAAAAGAAATATTCTTTCAAAAACACACTTCAATTTGTAATCAAGTGATGTTTTCAGCTTTGAAATTTGTATGTAAGCTTGGGAAGGGGTTATCGTCAAGCAACCTATTCACAAAATAAACATACTTCTATTTTGTATCCCACTTGTACTTTAACACCCAGGCGCTCATGCATACTAGCTACAGTCATGACATCTTCGTACCAAGTCGATTCAACGGTATCTTTCTCTGTTCATGTGCTATTTAAAACTGCCAGAAATGTTATAATCAGGGAAGTGTGTCGATATAATAGAATTTTAACAATGTGGGTGAAGATTCTGTACTATTTTCCCTTCATACTGTGCACGCGAGATCATGCCTTCGTTCCAACAGCAGACATTCAACACTCAAGATTCGAGGACACGTCTGATATATATTGGGGCAGTTTGACAAGAGGGTTTATTTGTTTGAAGAAAGTTAGTGATGACACCATCTTCGTATTACACCCGGAAGCAAACAAGACCAAAAATGTTTAGAAAAAGCACATCTATGGGTGTCAAGCACAAGCCCAGGCACGATTCTTGTAAAGTTTCACAATTGGATTTTGTTGTTTTGTTGTCAAAATAATTCTTGCTGCTTGTGTTCAGAACGTTTAAAAATTATTCATGTCAAGATCTGTTCAGGTCGCAATTTAAAAATGACAATCTGTTTGGATATTTAGCATATTCAAGTTGTTTCCCGTCGTCAATCACGCCACCTGTTAATGTGAACTTAAAGATCAGTCTCCTTTAGTTTTCACCTAGAATAAGAAAAACTTACAAAACTGCCTTATTTTAATTTCAGTTGAGGTGGGTATTACAAACGCACTTTGTTCGAGTGTCAATCAGCATTTGAAACGTACATTTTCAGTCGCTTCTAAATCTGTGTTTTTGACTAGTGACCCAAATATTGTACACGTATTTAGTAACAGGAAAGTGCCACTGTATCTGTGTGATACACAAAGAAAAATATATAATATAAATGCCCACTGACAGAGTGTACTATCAAAGTAAGTAACCTCAGTGCTTCCATATTTTGGCACTACTATATCATCATTTTTTCATACTATCATGACATCCGGTCTGTGGTGTGCTCCCGATAATGTTCCTGGTTTGATTCCATGTCATGATAGCTGAAATGACGTCATGATGGCCTATATGTACCAACTATGTTTTTCGCTCGAGATAAAAAGACCCAGCAGCATGTGACACCAGTACTTCTGTAACTACTCACAGGACAATTCCACAAGCTCTATATATGCTGTTGTTGTCTTACAGGTTTCCCTACTGAAGGCTGTGTTCACCTGATGAAGACAGGTGTAGCGGACAGATGCATGGTCCTGCATTGTGAGTACCTCAATAACTCCGTTCAGGAGATATATACACACGTTTAATCTGCTGAACAACTGCACCTGATGAGTAAAGACCAGTATGTACAGGATATTCCATGTGTCGAGTGAAACAAAGATGAGAGAAACATGGTATTTCATGAGACACAGGGAATATCCTATGTATTATACACTTTTTTGTGGAGATGACTACCTGAAAATGTTCTATTTCATTACAATATAAAACCTTGAAACTTCACATGCAGGGACGTGTCAATACCTTTCGTAATTGCAACTTGAAAAGTATTTCCGCGTTCGCAAAATCTTTAAAAACCCATGCACAAAAGTAACAAATAATATTTTAAGTCAATAAAAGTCATACATTTGAATATGGCTACATACAAAATAAAGTCGAACAAAACATATTTTTGGAATCTTGGAGACCACTGTTGGAAGCGAAACAGTACATACTGATTAAGACACACAAATGGCGCTTTGCGAAACGAACAGTCTCGATTGACAAGTTAAATGAGAAATTTATAATTTTATAATGAAACATTTTCCAGAGAATAACAAACCACAAGAAGCGATATTAACTCCATTAATGGCCATCTGCCATTATTTTGCCTTGTCAATGTGGAACTAAAGTGAAAAGGAAGCCAACAGGGGAGATAATTTGAGGGTAGGTAACTCCTGTAAGACAATGTTCATAGCAGTGAAATATTAAGTGTAATGTTCACTGCAAAGAAAATGTCACTTTCTCAAGTTCAGAATACTAAGTCTTTCACACTGAAGTATATAATAAAGCCCTCTCCTACAGCAATGCATATGATTTGGTTAATTTGGATCAAATTCGTTAAGTGTGTACCCAATACTTGCCTTGTGTCTCAGTGACTCGGAAGACTGAGTGGACCCCACTTAGAACATGTCCAGTACTTTACACATGCGATGGCATGTCAGCCCGTGTAGGAGAAAAGCACAAAGGATAAGATATGAAGTAATTCTTTAAATCCTTAACGTTTGGCATGAATTATCCAGTCTCGATTATCCGCTGAAACAGATTCGATTATGCCTAAACGGCGAAATATCCGTAAAAGTTATATGAATGGATAACTGAAAACAGTGATGACACAAGGTGTTCGCGAAAGCATGTCCTGCCCTACCGATAGTACACGTCACTCACAAAATGGGCATAAAAGTTTTTCTTGACTCACTCGCATATCAGTACTCCTGCCATGCATTGGCGGCCTGTACACAAACCAGACAAGTGATGGACCAGACAGAGAAGCCACTGACACGACAGCACATATACTAAAAGACGGTGTCAGAGCAGACTTATAAGACTTACAAGTAGAGACATTTAAGAAAAGAAAACATATAAGAAATATGTTTGTTTTCTTCTAGTGATAAAATGGTTTTTAACATTGCAATCTCAGATCAAACAACGGGCGGTCGGGTAGCCTTGTGGTTAAAGCGTTCGCTCGTCACGCCGAAGACCCGGGTTCGATTCCCAACATTGGTACAATGTGTGAAGCTCATTTCTGGTGTCCCCCGCCGTGATATTGCTGGAATATTGCCAAAAACGGCGTAAAACCAAACTCACTCACTCACTCATATCAAACAAAGTTCAACTTTGAAACAATGCCATATGCCTGCTGGGTCATGTGACCAATCTGTGGGCATCGATTGGATGATAATGAGACACTAACTTCTTCATCTACTCGTTGATGTACAGCCATAATCCAGTGAGTTTCAGCGCAACACCTGTCACGTGACGGGGCTTCTTCATTTTGTGACTTATGATATACTCTTTAGTATATTTCTGTAAGTACATGTTCTTTCTTTCTATCATGTTGTGTCTTTGAAAGGCATTCAGAAGTGATACACATAAGGAAGAGGCTATATGGATGTCAACTTCTTTATAAGGAGGAACGCAACGTTTCGGAGTATATGCTTACTCCTTCATCAGGTGATGAAGGAGTTCACCTGGTGAAGGAGGAAGCATATACTCCGAAACGTTGTGTTCCTCCTAATAAAGAAGTTGACATCCATATATTCTCTTCCTTGTCATGTTATGCACACGAATATCCGCTCTAAAGAGACCAAGCTGAACTTGACCAAATGACCTGGTGTGGCCTGGTCCGTACTGATTGGTATCCGTTCAGTGTTGAACAGGGTCGTTATACACACTGATTCCAGACTACATAGACACTGATTTAGGACATTCCTGGGGACTCTGTTCTCTTCTGTGCCGCTTCGTGTCATAACGCCGAATGTGAACCAACAAGAACTCTCGTGTGTTTGCAGCTGTGCAACATTCAGAAGGTCTGCTGAGTCAAGATAACATATAAAAGGGCTAGCAAAATGAAATTGTTAATCTATCACTTACAGGCAGGCCCAATACATTGTTTTACGTTCCGCTCATGTTGTTACCATCAACACTGTTTACTGTGTCGTGCCTGTGTGAATCAGTTCGATTGCATTATAAGTTTATTTCTGTTTAAATCACCGACTTATTGACACTTGACAATATACACTCACAAACTTTCTTATGGTTTGTTTGTTGGTTGGTTAACGCCACACTCAGCAATATTCCAGTTGTATGATGGCGGTCTGTTATAGATACACTACCCATCGCTCACATGTAAATACACAACGTATCAGATGATTATCCCAATGTTATAGAACTATCATTGCTACACGTTGAACATGCCTTAGACAATGTGTGTGGCCCCAATCTCAAATACATGAACATCTGGGTTCCCTGATCAAGATTTAAGACACTGGAACTTCCAGATGTATGTCTTGTTATTCTACCTAGTGACTTGTAGATGCGTTGAGACGTGGACCTACCAGTCACCAAGCCTGACCAAGCGATCCTCCGCTCGCCTCTTGGCTGCTTGGGAAACATACTGTTGCCCAGAATCACCATGCCGTTAATTAGAAGAAACTGCATGCCAAGTTAAGCGTAATCAGCTGTAGGATGATGCATTTACACTGATGGCCTCCCCTTGTTTGGCTCCATGATACATCCCGTTATAACGCGCAAAGCAACGAAGTTGACGATCGAAATGACACGGTGGGATGACAGTTGCCATTTTAAGTTTGATGTAACTTCCATAGTTTGTTCAGGAAAGAAAGCCAAAAGACGAACCGGACAATTTACAGGAGAGAAAATAAGGTGAAATAGATTCCGAATATTGTAAATTGTCCAAGATGATAGATAGATACTAGTATAGAAAACATAAGACGAATAGTTATTGATTAGATATATCACACCATGGCCGAGGCATGAATAAAAAATGCAATGTGTGTTAATAAGTAAACCTGACATTATTTTGGTATCATTCCACCAATTTCCCCAATGAAGTAGGCAAATACTCACTCACTCACCACCCACGCGAATAGCTGCAATACTAGTACTGTTAATTTTATAATAAGCAACAGTAAAACACTCACTCCCTTGTTACGTCATGTTATATTATGGAAAGGGTTTTGTCGACTGTATTTACAATATTTCAATCGTTTCTAACGGAAAATGCTATTTAACAACCTCTTATTACACTTATTCAATATTCCTTATCTCCATATATTATAATGATATTATAAGAGCTAGCGTTATTGATTAGTATTTACAGATTTTATGTGGATAATTGTGGTTTGCGACCATTGACAGAAATTATTAAAAATATTTCTTATAGATAATAATCAATAAAATAAATGATCCCGATTCCAAGGTCACTCGTGAGATCACAGCTGGACATGGTACAGTTAGTTGGGTTCAATTTTCACTCTTAATACCCTCTCTGTGGTATAATAGAACTTTTTCCATGCACTGACACGTGTACTACGCTTAACATCCGAGTTTCAAATAACCAACGATTGTCATAGAGTAAACTTTGATTTGCGACTATTGTTTTTGAGAAATAAATACGTAATTTCATTGGTCGGTCAATGTTCGAGAAAGGTCGTTCTGACGTGACCTGTAATTAGGATGTCCTCAGTGGTAGCGAGTATCGGATTTTAAGAGATTGAGGTAATCTAGGCATGTGATTAATCCTGTTTTGTTTATTTAAAGCAGTAATTGTTTATTGTTAAGCAAGTTTATCTGTGCAGCCGTTGAAATATGCAGCTACTCGACGATCCGTCTCGTATCAAAACACAGACTGTGTACTCACGGGCAGATGACCACGGAGTACGCTGATCACTGTGTCGGATTAACGAGACTGATTAATGAGTGATTTCGGTAATTTGCTGCGAGTTAGGTGTTTCTGAGTCGGAGTGCGAGACGGTCGGATTAACGGGTCTAAATAGCACTGATTTAATCGGTTTCCATCATTAGTCTCGGATAAAGCCGACTGTCGGTTGAACGAGTGTCGGATAAACGAGACTTGACTGTAGAATGAAATTTGTAACCAATTGGTCGTCTGCTCGCATCTGCTTTCTGACCTAAGGGCGGTGTAGTCACGAGTTGCACGTGCTTGACCGGCGGCGAATCTATTTCGCACGTGAAGCGCGATGTTCCTTGTCACAACATCAAGCTGGAAGTTTTGTTCTGTTTATTTGTGTGTTTGTTTAACGCCACACTCAGCAATATTCCAGCTTTATGACGGCGGTCTGTAAATAATCGAGTTTGGACCAGACAATCCAGTGATTGACATCATGAGCATCGATCCACGCAATTGAGATACGATGACATGCATCAACCAAGCCAACGAAACTGACCACCCGATCCCGTTTCTCGCCTGTTACGACAAGCAAGATTTATTATCAAGCTGGATCTTCACGGGTCTGCGGGAAGGTTGTTCGAATAATATTTGTATATTTACATTCAATTCAGCTGCTTTTAGTCTCAACAAGTTCTTCATAAAGAAACCAGAAGGACTTTATAACATATATGTAACATCTACTCCAAATTACAATCTACAAGAATATTCCAGAAATATATCAAAATAGTGTGGTTTATTGTGTTATTTATTGTTTGTGGTTGTTGTTGGTTTGTTGTTTAACGCCGCACTCAGCAATATTCAAGCTATATGACGGCGGTCTGTAAATAATCGAGTCTGGACCAGAACATCCAGTGATTGCTATCATGAGCATCGATCCACGCAATTGGGATCGATGACATGTATCAACCAAGTCAGCGAGCCTGACCACCCGATCCCGTTAGTCGCCTTTTACGACAAGCATAGTCACCTTTTACGGCAAGCATGGGTTGCTGAAGACCTGTTCTACCCTGGAATCTTCACGGGTCTTATTTTTGGTGTCCTCTGCTGACAATGCTGCCTAACCATACTATCATCCATCGTCAACCCACGTGCGTCCTGCAACGTGCCACACAATACTTCACCAGCTTCTAGATGACGTCACCGGGTCACGTGACACTGTGATCTCAACATTGACATTCAATCTACATGTTCCTCATTATACCACGTTCATTCGTGTCTCTGTTATAACACGGTGTACATTGTGATTGCGTCTATTCGCCCACTGTGAGATTGTCGTGCTCTGTATATCCCCACGTATTTGTAATTCAGTATCTCAACTGCAAATATTTCTTATTTGTGTGACGTAATTAAATTAATGTTGATGTCGTGTGTCTGCCGTTCTGAATAATTTGATAACTGACGAGCCACGCACTACACCTGTCACTGACTAATTCTACAGTCGGGTTAAAGGATTATCAGTGAATCCAATGTAAACACATAGATCCAAGGTATTACACAGTAGGCTTTATGTTCTTACTACCCAACTGTGATTATATTATACTGTTTGTATATGAGAACATTGTGAATTTCTTTCATTTAAATATCATTATAGAACTTGACTATCAATATTTGTCTTATGTTTTATTCACAAGTAAACTACATTCATATGTTGTAGGTATACATCTGAAGTATGACAAAGACAGAGTCAATCTCGACACAGTCCACATCAACACAGAAGGAGACCTGGTCAACAGGAAGTCGGGCACCAGACCTGCAGGGGAGGGGAGACTGAAGGAGTATGATGGCACATGTAGCACTGCCCCCCTCCCCCGGGCTGGTTGTCCCCAGTACTGGGAGATGGTGTCTAGGGTCAGTCTGGACAAACCACTCACAGAGGACGACCTCATCCTGGAGTTGGGTGTGTGTGGGGAGGAGCAGAGGGACGTGTATCATTGTATCAATGGAGAACCCAGCTCCTGCTGTATGCTGGTCACCCAGTGTCCTACACACGGCGGGATATGCAGGGAGACATGGAAGGAGGGGAAGCGTGTGCTGTGTCTGCCTGACACTCTCCCCAACACAGCAGGGGCATCACACACACTACATTACGGTGTTGTCTATGATGACGCCAGGAAGAAGATTGTCTTCATTGATGTGAAGGAGAATAGAGTGATGTCGACGTTAGACAATGTAGACTCTAGTCAGCCACTGTGGCCGATGTTCGGGGTGTATAACTCACATCTCCTCACTGTCAGCATAGCACTTGTAGTGGGCAGCGACATCAACATGACAGAGGAGAAGAAAGCAACGATTGTCAAGGCGTTGTCGTGATGGTGACAATGATTGTCAAGGCGTTGTCGTGATGGTGACAATGATTGTCAAGGGCTGTCGTGATGGTGACAATGATTGTCAAGGCGTTGTCGTGATGGTGACCATGATTGTCAAGGCATTGTCGTGATGGTGACAATGATTGTCAAGGCGCTATCGAGATAGTGACAATGATTTTCAAGGTGCTGTCGTGATAGTGACAATGGTTTTCAAGGCGTTATCATGATGGTGACAATGATTGTCAAGGCCCTCTCGTGATGGTGACAATGATTGTCAAGGCACTGTCGTGATGGTGACAATGATTGTCAAGGTGCTGTCAAGGGTGTCTTTAGTGTGTTCTTATATCAATCCTGTGATTGTGTCTCCACCATTGCTTACACAGTGCTCTGCATTCGATGTTAGTCGAGGTCAGACTCGTTACACCTGCCACTAACTTATAGATTTTGGTCCAGAATCTGAACTCTCATCAGATGGAAAACAACCAAACTCACCACACACTGACGATCCTTTCGCTCAAACAGAAGCTTGAATGACGAGTGGATTACAGATTTTACGAACACTTCCAGACTCTTCCAGACTGTATTTTTTAGATAGAGACTTGAGAGAACACGATTGACCGTAGCCTTACTACAAGTTGTGACCACAAGCTACAAGGTTGCCCTGTGTGTTTAGTAAGCCTGCCCTTACAAAAGGCAAGTCTAGATAAGTGAACTGTACGCCAGTCTTGCAGGGACAACTTGTTCTTATTACTTATATAATCTAGAAATAAACAAATAAGTCTGAACACATGAAATGAGCTACATGTATTTTACTCACTCACTCACCCACTCACCCACTCACCCACTCACTCACTCGCCCACTCACTAACTCGCTCACTCACTCACTCACCCACTCATCCACTAACTCGCTTACTCACCAAGCCACTCAACTCACTCTCATTCACTCGTTCATCTTTGTCGACTGTAATTATTTCCCATAAAGCACATTTACTCGACGAAAGATGGTTTTTTTTATGGAATAATAATCACTGATCAAGTGATAACTAGAAATACCAGCTTTGTAATATTTATTGTCCGAATAAAAATATGTTCTTTATTGTAATTAATGGTTATTTTGTAACTGTGGTGTTAAACAACACACCCACTCACCCACTCACCCACTCACCAGCTCGCTTGCTCACCAAACCACTCAACTCACTCTCATTCACTCGCTCATTTTTTATCAATATATGTCGACTGTAATTATTTCCCATTAAACACAGTTACGCGACGAAATATGTTTTTTATAGAATAATAATCACTGACCTAACCAGAAATACCAGTTTTGTTATATTTCCTGTCCGAATTAACATATGTTTTTTACTGTAATCAATGGTTATTTTGTAACCGTCGACATGTGGAACAGTTCTTCAGCAACCCATGCTTGCCTCAAAAGGTGACTAACGGAATCGTGTGGTCAGGCTCGCTGACTTGTGTTGTGTTGTGTTCACTTGAAATGATATTCAGAAGGATCATGTTTATTCATACAGCACGCCCAGTTTTACCAGGTACAGAGAGTTGCTTAGTTTTATACTAGTGTACACAAATACTGAAGCGGGCATTGACGGGTTTAGAACCTACTTTAAGTTCATATTCATGTGATGTTGTACGGAGCAGACTTCACTGGTTTAAGGGATATTTGCTTACTAGAATACTAGTCGGCCATTGTGGCCATACTGTTACCAGTCATCACATTTGCATGAAAATAACATATTAACGATGATCAAAGTTGTTCTTGATTATCACTAGAAAACAGAATGTGGCATGTTTAATATAAGAATTAAAGAAATAGAGAATACAAATTTTAAAAAAGGTTAATTGATTTTAGAAGTATTTGTCCTTACGGTTAATATTTTACCGTATCGATACGTTTCATAAAATAACAGTATTATCCGTACGTCAAAACATGTTCTAATGCGCTGCTATTCTCTGCGCAGAGTTGCGTCCCTTGGTCCCGCCAGAAACCTATGATCGTGGGTTCCAATCCTGACTCGCACCGATTATGTTTTTAGGCTTGTCAGCACCATTTCTGTGCTCGTAGGTTTCACTAAAGAAGTAAGTGTCTAAGACAAGCAGAACTTCTGGCTTTCCACATTAAGCTGACACGCGAGACAACTGGAATACAGTAAAATGCAGCGTTATACAACTCACTCACTCTGATCAAATTTGAAATGAGCACTGTTAAACTCAATTGGACTATGCAGTGGATCGTGTAGGTGTCAGCATTAAAGCTGAGGTGAGGTACACACATGTCACATTGATACAACATTGACTGGTCGGGTTTGCTCATACTATCAGTCACTGGTTTGTATGATCAAGACTCAGTTATATAAAGGTCACGGCCACATAGAAATATTGCTGAGTGTGACGTTAAACAACCAATATAAACGCATCTTATAGGTCTACTATTCTTCGACTGTAAAACCCTACAGCGAACAAGACGGGACGACGAACGGTAAGGGGAACAACTCTTGTTGGCTTAATATTATTCAGATCTGTCAGAACATGTTCATTCACTAGAGTGAGCGTCTCTAATGTCCGTGAGTGACTGAATACTACACACTGTTTGTCTGTGAGAGACCTGGCTTTGTGGGACACTTCTTTATACATACATTTAGTGAGTGAGTGAGTGAGTGAGTGAGTGAGTGAGTTGGGTTTAACGCAACTTTTTACAGTATTCCAGTTATGTCATGGCGTGTCAGCTCAATGTGGAAAGCCAGAAGTTCTGCCTGTCTTAGACACTTACTTCTTTGGTGAAACCCACGAGCACGGGTATGGTGCTGACAAACCTAGAAACATAATCAGGGCGAACCGGGATTCGAACCACAATCATAGGTTTCTGGTGTGGCCAAGGGAGGCAACTCTGCACAGCGAATCGAGGCGCCTTAGACGACTGGACTGCATACATTTAGACAGGTAAGTGATGGACGCGACAAATACATAGCTTTCATTTAATGTAAGGGACTGGAATTATAGGTGGCGGTTGAAATAAAGATGTAAGGTTTATACATGGCTTTGCATGCAATGGACCATTATCTAGTGTAGTGTATCGCCATTCTGTTTTGATCAAAACCTGGACCCATTTGAAACCATAGCATTGTTCCGGAAGTGACGTAGCCAGCTCCATCTCTCGCATCAATAGCTTAGTACCAACATCCTCCCGCGCATGAGCTTGCCATCAACAACCAATGAAAATGCCTCTTCTGAATGTGAGTTCTCCATGGGCTGCATTCAAAATTGCAGCCTCGTCCTAGCAGGCACTCGCTGTTTATAAACGAATCACAAGACATATAATTTTAATTTTATTTGAAAAGATTTATTCCTGAGTACTAAAACGGGGAAGGGACGTCTTTTGTCTACAATACGTGCCGGTTGCATGTGACGTCATTGTTACTGTATACTCGTATATAAGATAGCCATACGATAAATCGGAAAGAACAGTGAAGAACGAATCGTGGTTTATTTAAGAGATAAACCTACTGTGTTTTGAAATTTGATGTAATCCCACTGTAGAGTAGACACCTCATATTTTATTTTCGAACCGAGTGCAGGGAGAATAAACCGCGAGGGTCGCAGCAGTGTTTTATTGTGCGATAAACAATGACCGCGAGTCGTTTATTTCTTAAAATTACAACCTGTTAAAGTTGTACGTGTCGAGTACTCTGTGTGTGTGTGTGTGTGTGTGTGTCTGTGTGTGTGTGTGTGTGTGTGTGTGTGTGTATGTGTGTGCATGTATGTGTGTGTGTGTGTGTGTGTGTGTGTGTGTGGCTGATGTACCAGTCCGGACTGTGTGTCTGTGTGTGTCTCAGTGTGTGTGTCTGTGTGTGTGTATGTGTGTGCATGTATGTGTGTGTGTGTGTGTGTCTGATTGTACCAGTCTGAACTATGTGTGTGTGTGTATGTATGTCTGTTTGTGTGTGTGTCTGTGTGTATGTGTCGCTGATTGTACCAGTCCAGACTGTGTGTGTGTGTGTATGTCTGTGTTTGTGTCTGTGTGTCTGTGTGTCTATGTGTGTGTATGTGGCTGATTGTACCAGTCTGGACTGTGTGTGTGTGTGTCTGATTGTACCAGTCCAGACTCTGTGTCTGTGTGTCTGTGTGTGTGTGTCTGTGTGTGTTTGTGTTTGTGTCACTGACTGTACCAGTCCAGACTGTGTGCCTGTGTGTGTGTATGTGTGCCAGTGTGTCTGTGTGTGTATGTGTGTGTGGCTGATTGTACCAGTCTGGGCTGTGTGTGTGTGTGTGTGTGTGTGTGTGTGTGTGTGTGTGTGTGTGTGTGTGTGTGTGTGTGTGTGTGGCTGATTGTACCAGTCCGAACTATGTGTGTGTCTGTCTGTCTGTGTGTTTCTGTGTGTCTCTGTGTGTGTCGCTGATTGTATCAGTCCAGACTATATGTCTGTGTCTGTGTGTCAGTGTGTCTATGTGTGTGTATGTGGCTGATTGTACCAGTCTGGACTCTGTGTGTATCTGATTGTACCAGTCCAGACTGTGTGTCTGTGTGTGTGTGTTTGTTTGTGTGTCTGTGTGTGTGTGTCTGATTGTACCAGTCCAGACTGTGTGCCTGTGTGTGTGTGTTTGTTTGTGTGTCTGTGTGTGTGTCGCTGATTGTACCAGTCCAGACTGTGTGTCTGTGTGTGTGTCTGTGTGTGTGTTTGTGTGCCAGTGTATCTGTGTGCGTCTGTGTCTGTCTGTGTGTGTCGCTGATTGTACCACTCCAGACTGTGTGTCTGTGTGTGTGTGCCAGTGTGTCTGTGTGTGTGTTTGTGTGTGTGTCTGTGTGTGTGTCTGTGTGTGTCGCTGATAGTACCAGTCCAGACTATGTGCCAGTGTGTCTGTGTGCCAGTGTGTCTGTGTCTGTGTGTGTGTGTGTCTGATTGTACCAGTCTGGGCTGTGTGTGTGTGTGTGTGTGTGTATGTCTGTGTCTGTGTCTGTGTCTGTGTGTGTCTGTGTGTGTGATTGTACCAGTCTGCACTTATAAAGCTATGTCGGTGGGTGTATAAACAGCTGATCGCCATGCTAGATGAACTGGCCATCAAGCACAGCCCACGTCCATCGGACCAGAAGGACCGATGATGATGTTTGTTTTACAACACCCGGTTACCGAGGGGTCAGGCGGCCGGGAGACGTACATACTTACTTCAAATATACGTCTTTACTGATTAAATACTATATGTATCCAGATGACAAGAAGTGATGTTCATCGTTAGTCAAGTCACACCATGATGCGCCCAGCAATTCCCTTCTCAAGTCACGATGTAAAGGTTACAAACAGGATTAAATCGAAATCAAAACCAATCGTCACAGCAGGACCAGTGCCTGGTTGGACAGGGGCGCGTTCTCCCGTGTTGGTTGTGCACTATGTACGACTTGGGGAACGTACAATGACTATGTGGGTACTTAGACTGTCAGTAAAATACTCTTCAGATTTGTCAGGCGCCTTCCACAGCAATGAGCTTCGATGTCCTTTCTTTCTAGTTTAACAAAAAAATCACGGGCTTGACGCTTACAGCAAATGACAATTCTGACAGCGGTAAATATGCATATAAAACTATAGATTTTCCGCTACTGTGTTGAGAAAGAGTTCATTAAATGCAAATCGCGGACTCCTGATGTAAGCGACCACTTAAGTGACATAATCGCTCCCAATGAAATCCCCCACTTGACTTAATATTTTATCGAACGTAATGTGTATGGAAAATAAGCCACAATATGAATCAATGCTCTCGTCTGTGTGTGAGCAGTTTCACCCGAGTGTACCGTCATTAACATTGTTGCCGGAATCGAGTACTCTTCATTGTAGAACACAAGTCATATTGACTGTAGCAGATATATCTCCGTTATTCATATTAACCGTAGCAGATATATATCCGTTATTCATACAGGGCAATACAATTCATATTGACTGTAGCAGATATGTCTCCGTTATTCATATTAACTGTAGCAGATATATCTCCGTTATTCATACAGCGCAATACAATTCATATTGACTGTAGCAGATATATCTCCGTTATTCATATTGACTGTAGCAGATATATTTCCGTTATTCATACAGGGCAATACAATTCATATTGACTGTAGCAGATATATTTCCGTTATTCATACAGGGCAATAAAATTTATATTGACTGTAGCAGATAACATTTCCGTTATTCATATATGGCAATACAATTCATATTGACTGTAGCAGATATATTTCCGTTATTCATACAGGGCAATACAATTCATATTGACT